TTTTATTAGTTAAAAAAGTTTCAAAAATCCAATAGATTTCGTTCCACTTCACAATTGTGTCCCACTTGTTGGTGATTCTTCACATAAAATAAAAAAATTTACATCTTTATGTTTGAAGCCTGAAATGTGGCAAAAGGTTGAAAAGTTCAAGGGGGCCGAATACTTTCGCAAGGCACTGTATATAGGAGTTAGAAATGAAAAAAATAGAAATTCAGAGAGATGACAACTCCACACCCACATGTCCCAACTAGAAACATATTTAATGAAACCTTAATTTTCCAGTACTTACTGTTGGCCTCTCTCCTCCTTCCCCATAAACTTTCTTGCTCATTCTCCAGGTGTTGGTGAGTCCAGTATCATTATAAGCAGGCTGTTGCTTCCATACCAATTAAGGTTAAAACCACACACATCAACACTAACCAAAACAGCATTCACATGTTGGCAAAACTAAGGTTGTTCAAGCTATTATTTGATACAATAGTTTATGCTTTTCTTCTTTTGATGAGAATTATAAGATTCTATAAATTTTAAAAGCACATTTTCATTCCAGTTCTAAATACTACTTATAGCCTCAACCATTTATTTCTATCATAAAGTGATACAGTTCACAAAAATATTTAAACATTTTATTTTGAGGTGCAGAGATACAAATATCTTTAAGTGACTAAAACCACCATTGCTGTAATACTCACAATGTTATTTCTCAAACAAAACACACTAATCTACAGAAAAGCATATTGTTAAAAACAAACATGCTTTAAATCTGTGGGTAATCATTATCATAGCCTAGGGTTTTCTGGCTGCAATAAAATATGAATTTTGTTCAAGCTAGCTTAAGAAGCTTACTATTAAAAATAAAACTTTGCCTACATTCAAAGAGAATTAAAAAATAGTAACAGAATATCCCCATATAGTACTGCAGTGCTGTAGTTATTGTGTAGCATATTGAACAAAGAAAAAGACACACTCTAAAGGCTTTGTAGGAAGCACAATCATGTTAATCCAGAAGGAAGATTAAAACTGATAAACCAAACAAGATCAACAGAACACTTTATAATGAGAAAACAAAAATTTTGGTGATGAGTGATGGGGCGGCACTGTGGCTCAGTGATTAGCATTGCTGCCTTGCAGTGCTGGGGCCCTCAGTTCAGTCCCCGTTCAATTCTGGACCTAGGAATTTGTTTTCCCCGTGTTCAAGAGGGATTTCTCTGGGTGATCCAGTTTCCTCCCACAGTGCAAAGACATACTGGTAGGTTAATTAGCTTGTGTTAAAAGTGGCCCTGGTGAGTGTGTCATTTTTGTGTTTGTGTCTGTCTGCCCTGCAATGGGATGATCTCTCTTTCAGGATGTGTCCTTCCTAGTGCACGTTGCTTGCAGAGTTAGGCTCTGTATTGCATAAACCAGATAAACTGATGGATGGATTGAGTGGTTCATTCTTTTTTTTAATCCTCTTTGCTAATTTCCCCACTGAAGCAGGATTACATAATACCAGGAGGTTAGGACGCTAGGTGTTCCAATGTTGAAGGAAAATGACTTATTAACACAACATTGTTAAACCCATTTCTTCCCCCAAATCACTATACATTACGCCATGGAGAATACTGAACACTTTGTGCCTTTGGATGGGACATATATCTTAGGTCCTGCTAATAACTTAATGATAGATTTTACCTGTCTAGGTAAGAAACACTTTACTACATGGATAATTAATTATTATAACATACTGCACTGACACAACGTGAGACTGTATTTTACATCCACATAATAAGGCAGTAAAATACTACTCCATTTTAAGTGGTATGTTATTTTTAAACTTACAATTTACTCTTGAGAATGAGCTACAACAGGTACAGTATATGGTGTTCAGACTCAAACAAACTGCATGGGCTGAAATTAGCCCACAGTGTGCTTGATCCTGATGTCACCTAGGTGTATTCACCCATAGTAATTCCTTAAGAAATGTTTTATAATTATCAGTGATTAAATTGTTCATAAACAAATTATTCATTACATTAATGCACTATGACGTTTAGTTTACTTCATTCTGATCTTTATCTTTTAACACAACATTTGGAGGCTGAAAGACCAAAGATAAGTTGAGTCAGTTCCTGTGAAACTTCACACCATATTGAACACTTGAACACAAGTGCTCTGTATGGCTCTCTCTCTCTTTTGTCATCTGCCTCATCTCTGCTTGTCCACCGATTTATAGGTCTGTCAGTAGAGAAAATGATCCTCACCAATCCTCTCACCGTCATGTTCAAGGCAGTACCCCCTTCCATATATGGACCGGTAGCTAAAATTGTGGACATGGGCTTTCCAGCACAATACAGACAGTCCGCTTAACCTCCTGAGCTTACAAAAAGTGCTATTTTTCATCACAAATACACTTATGACATTGTTATAGTTTGTTCGGTCAATGGGATGCTGTCTAGATGAGACTGCCGACTTACCACAAAAATGAATCCAATGCTCATCATTTTTGCTGTCCTTTGCATGCTGTGATTGGCCAAACCCCTCCTTTCAATCAACTGCTGGGAAATGACATCCCCAACTCCCACCAAAGAGCCTGTAAGATTGAGCAAGATGGTTAGGAATCTTCTCTTCTCCATTACTGTCACTGCAAAGATGGTATCTACTGCACAATGTATAAGTGGCTCCTTTTCATAAAGTGGCCCTACTTTCGAAGGTCTTGAACATTTGTGTTAGACAAATGTTTATTATTGATTAAATAATAAATTAATAGCATCAAAATAGCCTTTGACTCAAGTCTGAGAACTGTACAGATAAGACAGAAGTAGGAGAAAAAGTTAAAAGCAATTTACAAAATGAACTGTGTCATGGAAATATACCTGACAACTGGAAAAGTTAATTTTAAAACAAAGAACAATTTGAATGCCTCTGGGCAAGAAAGATCTTGGTTTTGAAAATGAGGAGGACAGTTATTTCATCTGTAGATGAAAACTAAAAGCAATAATAGATCACCTTTTCATCCAGGAATATGAATATCGACAGAATTACAGTATAACTGCATTAAAAATAATGTCGAATTTTCGACAATGTCTGAAAAATAACAGGATCCTAAATTTAGCATTTCATGTGTTTCTGACCTAAAGGAAAAATATCCTTAAGGTCACTCACATCAGGTGAAATTGATTTTGGATAAAAAGCTGCCCCAAAAAGATTAATTTGTGCCCCAAAGTCAGCAGTTCTAATGACAAAACCAGTTTGCAAATCTTTTTAACAAAGCAAACAGACAACACTGTTGATTATTCTTCCAAATGAGGCATCACTCAATGGACTATGCATTAGTTTGAACTGGGAAAGGCTGTCAGGGAGCTGGACAGATTTCTCACTGCCTTCCCTGAGGGGTGCCCATGCACCTTTCACCTTTGACCCCACACTGTTAAATTAGGAAGGCCGAAATTCATATTGTTGTCTGCTGGTGCCTAGTAAATTATTAATTGAAACACTTTAGTTACACGATGGCCAAATATTGGTAGTAAAATCAGATTTATTGAGACTACAATCATCAGCAACAGATTTATGTTTGGTTTCCAAATTTCTCTAACATAAGCCCATAGACAAAAAATAAATTACTGCAGAGAGTGTAAATGTACTGGCTGTAACAGCAGATGGTGGTGTCACAGAGATTGACATGAGGTTTGGTGAAGGAAAGCGTCATATGACACATTAGATAGTGATAGTGAAGCTCAGGTACACAATGCAATAAGCTTTATTGATTTGACTAGTACACAATGCACCAGGGTGAAGATTAAATTCTTCCAAATACCCCAGTATTTCTTTAAAGGGCCCACTCCTATGGTTAGTTGCTAGGCTTTGAAACAACAGCAGCTACAATTTGTTTTCTGACATGAGAACAGTAACACGGAATTGAAAAACCTGGAAGCTAGAAATACTAATCCTTTGCAGGACTAATTGATAGAGAATTGATAATTGTTATGTCAGTAACAGCCCTAATTAAGATGGAAAAGAGATGTGATTTGAATGAATAAACTTTTTTGGGTTTGAGGAGAATGTCAACCTGTCTGAAAGGACAAGGCTGTCAGCACCACCCTCTTGGATGAAGGATAGGCGAAAGGGTGAAGATGGGGTGAAGGAAGGGATGTGAAATGAAACATGAAAGCAATTAAACTAGAAACATTATTCTGACACTCAGACAGACATAAGTGGGCGAGATTAAGGTGAGACTTCCCAAACATTTGTTTTTACAAAGAAGTAAATATATGCAAAACATCTGGATCTATTTGCAATATAAGCATTTATAGCCAAAAATAGATACATTTTTACATTTGAAAACATTTACTTTATGGTTTACCATTTTATTGCATATTATATACTGTATTACCTTCATAATAGGCACAGATTACTTTTTAACATACAGTATGGCATTTTACAAGACAGAATGAGCTGCTAATACAGCTGGGAGTATTTTCTTTTTATTAGTCAACTCAGGAATTAATGTAAAGAATTAAATTGAATATTATCTTTCTATGATGGCTGGGGTTTTGATCTGTCTCTGCATTCATTACAGTTAAAAGATTAGCAAGTAAGTCACTGGTCATTTGTCTGAAAATCCATTAACACAATATCATGATTTGTTAAACAAGATCTCCCAGTGTGAAATACATGCTATATGTTTCTCATTCCCTATAAACCTATTATATACTGTTCAACAGACATAAGGTTCTACAACATATTTGACAAATCTACAGTAAGTTGCCTGAGAGAGCAAGAGGACAGTTTCTTTTTGTTGGTATTAGACAAAATGGGCGAGAAAAATAGTGAAAATCAGCCACTGACAGAGTGGATTAATCAATAAACAAAATAATTATTCATAACCCCGAACTTGTAAGTGATTTCTCTAGAATATACCTGAATGGTTGGTATAATTGGAAGAATGTGAAGTCTTTATTCTCTGGCACAGTGTTGTTGAAAAGAGCAATGATTGAGGAACACTTGGTTAAAAATACATTTATTTGTAATGGCAACACAAACATTACGCTACAGTTATACGCTCAAGTTATTATATTTACAGTGTGTACAAACAAGGAGTTTCAGAGACCTACTGCACACCCTAATCACTCAGAAAACCCCAGACTTCTCCTAAGTATTAAATGCTTAAATAATGCCTACAGAGGTCAAATAATAGGTAAGCTGCCTTCTAAATAAATACAACACAACATTCTGTTAAATCTCTCTCTCTGCAAACCCAGAAAATAAATGGGAGCCCATATCCCTCTTCTAAAAAATGCTCCTCTAAGCAGGAAAGATGTCTCCAACTGAGGTATCTTTTACTCAGTCAACCCAAGTTCCCTGAAAACACAGAACATCAAGTTTCCTCTAGCAAGGTTCAAATACTTGGCTCCTATCAGGTTTTGTCTGGATGATCATGAAGTAGAGGCTCTCATCTGGCACAAGTTTCTAATTCCGACTCCTTGAGGTCTGGCCTCCTCCTCTCTTCTCTCCTCCTCTCAGTCTCTCTCTTTTACTTTTCTCTGTGATCTTAATGTGATCTTATATGGTGTGTTTCTGGACTGTTCATTGTCAATTATTTACCCACAACTTAATTAACTACTGCAGGTACACCAAGGTCAACTTTGCAATTGTTTTTTATCAGGGGAACCCCACTTCTCAGCAAATATCCCCTCTGCTTTCAAGCAGATTATGCTTAGACTGCCAGGTGTCACACGCTTCATCTCAAATCTTAAGAGATACTTCCTAGTCACCTAAAGCTGTAACTGTATAATAATACTAAGTTTATAGTCTACTAGAATTTCCCAGATTTCTCATGAAATCTGAATTTCATCACCAGTCATTCACCATTCCTGGTGAAAAAGGACTGTTAATGGATTGTGAGTGGATTCATAAATCTATTTTACAAGCCAAGGGTACGCTAAGAACGTTTAGTAAGTAACGTTTTGTCTTAAGCCTACTTCTTAACCTCACTTGAATATCACCAATATCTGTAGGCATATCTATGATTTTCTCACTAGAAAGTGTTTCAGTGAAACAGAAATAACATATCAGCATATGATTTAAGGTTAAATTATTATTACATACTACATCTACTGCATTCAGTTCACAATGTACAGTAGTTAAAGCTCCTTCAACACTTAATTTCCTATGAAATGTCAGAGGAAAGATGTTGTTTTGCATTTTTCAGGATGTCTTTTTTTCAAGCTGGAATTACATTGCCACTATGCTCTTTTATGAACCTATTAGTGGTCTATTTAGTATATCTGTTAGAGCTATCTTTCAATGATCATACATATTACAGATTCATTTTAACATTCTGTGAGGATATCTAATTTATTTTTAATTAATGAAAGAACACTACGTAAAAAACACTCTGCCACTCAAATATTAGATCTTTGTAAATTATGGAGCATTAAACTATGGCCCTTTATAAGGAAAATAAAAGTTCAGTTTATGTTTTTTCTTTTTTCTACTTTTGCATATTGTATTTGTCTGATAGTCTGCTCTGTCTCCCTAGTTAGGTCCATCACTATTCTTATGCTTCCACGCCTTACATTTGAAGATTTTTTTGTAGCTGAAAATTAATATGATTTCTATTTTATTTATCGTTTGACGTGAGCATAAAAATAAAACAAAACAAAAATGCAAAACATTTCCCCCACTACAAAAGACGGGATGACTGTTGGGTAGCCTAAAATGGTGATTAATGTGGATAAAAAAGCATATTTTTAAGTGAATTATTTGATTAAGTATTCTATAAATCTTATCCCAGCAAAATTCTTCAAATACAATACTTCAAAATGCAAACCCCTATTCGAAATAGAAAGCGTATAATTCCTAAACTGTATTCAGTAACTTTAATTTATTAATTTAATTAGGAGATGACCTATCTTAAATTGACTTAATAAAACATTAAACAAAAAAATCAAAAAGGTAGTGCATAATAAGGGCTTGCATTTGATATTTTATGAAAACAAAACAAAGCAAACATGTGCCTTATCAGTACATCATTCACTCACAACTCACAGTCAATGTCTTCATGTAAGTTGTTTAGATGAGCTTTGTAATGCTTCATCGTGCATTTTTTCACAGCACTGTTTATCTGCAAAGAAATATTAAAAATGAAACCCACACTTACTCAGAGGAGTCCTCCCACTGATAGTGTGAGACCTCACTGAAACACAGTGATTGGAGACAAACAACATATGCCATCTCTCTTTACACCATTTGCATTAAGAGAGAGAGTCTGATAGGCTTTAATGCTTAGGGCTCTAAATTAACTCAAAAGAGGTTTTCATAATTTCTTAAAGTATCAAGGCTTTCTATTTCATGTTACATATATTCCTTTTTACAAATATAGATGTCAGTTTAAAAGCCCAGTGAAGCACTACTATGTTAAATGAAAATTTCATGATTTATATCAAAGTTACCTCCCTTATCTAATAAAGAAATACAGAAGCTCATTCACAAGATTGCTTCCACCTGACACCAAGAGTAGGACACCTGTAAATATTTCTGTAAGTAAATACTCTTGGAAGCAAATACATCACAAAATCTGCTCCATTGCTA